CCCCGGGAGGGGCGCGGACCCGCTCGCCCCCAGGCCCCAGCCCCCGCCGCCGCGAGGGGGCCGCCTTTGGAGCGGTGTAATCTGGTTTTTCTTTTTTGTTTTTAATTAATTTTTGGCTGGTGGCGGCGGTGCTGGGCCCGGGGAAGGAGGGGACACGGAGGCCGCCCTCGTCCCGCCACCCCTCACCCGCTTCCTCCCCGCCCCGGTTCCGGGAGATGTGCCGGGCGGGGGGCCCGGGTTCGCGGAGCCGCGGGAGAGACGCGCAGGGCCGACCCCAGAGCGGCGCTGGACAGGTGAGTGTGTGCGGGCCCGGGGCGAGGGGGACGCCGCACCTGGGCCAGGTGTGCGGGCCGGGGGTTTAGGGAGGAGAATGGGAGCCGGGGCCTGTCTTGGCCGCGAAGGGGGAGGGATGCTGGAGCCCGGGTCCCGCAGCTGAGCGGGAGGGGAGTCGGGAGCGGCCTGCTCACCCCCACCGGCGAGGGGGCCGGGAGGGGCAGCCCCCACGGAGCGCCGGGGCGCGGGGGTGCGGATGGACGGCTGCGGGTGCTCGGCGGGGGGAGGGGACCGCGAGTGTGCCCGCGCGTGGCTGCGTGTGCCCGCGCGCGCGCCAGCCTTTGTGGGGAAGCGGCGCGGCGGTGCCTGCGTGTCCCCGGTGCGTGTGCGCGCGGGTGCTTGGCGCCCTGTTTGTGTAGGTGTCTGGGTGTGAGCGGAGACGGTGCGTGTGCGCGCCGCGCGCGGGCCCCGGCCCCCGAAGGAGCCGTCTTGGGGGCTGGCACCGGAGGATGCTGGGCTGGGGGTTGTTTTTCTCCGGGAGGAACAGGCGCGGGGGATGCGGGGTCTGTCTGAGTGTCGGGCCGGCTGCAGCCCGGGGGGCGCCGCTGTCAGGAGGAGGAGGAGGGGTGCAGGCCGGCAGCATCCTTTCTCAGTGGTACCCGGTTAAGCATGGCAAGCTGTCGGGTTTGATCCACCCGGATTCGGGCTTTGAGAGCGAGAGCCCTCCCCCTCCCCCAGGTGAACGTTCATTGGGTAGAGCTACGGGGTTTCGACTGTCACCCTGCCATCTGAGGGTGCCGGGACAGGGGTCCGGGCCAGAAGAGGGTGGGGAGTGCTGCGTGTGCTCCAGCTGTGGCCACCAAACGCCCCAGAGGCCTTACTCCAGTGCACCCCTGGCATGCATCTGGAGACGGCACCCTGCCCGCGCCAGTCCCTGCGCACATCCCTGTCCCTACTCTTCCCGTCTATGTCAGCACTCAGCCCCGTCCCTGCCCAGCACCTCACTGTACCTTCTCGTCCCCCCCCCCAGCCATGGCAGCTGCGTGGGGGCCCCTCCATCCCAGCCTGGAGGCAGGGCCCCCTTTCCTCCCGGCTTCTGCCAGACCCCGAGCCTGGGATTGTCTGCCCACATCCAAACATGTGGTGTGCCTGGGGGAGCAGGGGGAGGGGTTCAAAATGGCTGCCAAGATGGCTGGTCGCCTCTCCGCCTCTCCCCCCCCCCACCCCGTCTGGTTGCCCTGTTGGCTTAGCTGCTATGGAGTCGCCGTGGAGAAGAGTTGGACAGAGTGGGGACAGGTGTGAGGACACCTGAGGGTGGATGTCTGCTTGGCCCGTGGACCTCGATGCTGCGTGTTGGTCTCTGCTCGCTCTCCAGACCCAGCCTCTGGGCCGCTCACAGCCCGGCGGCTGCCCTGCCCTCCACCTGCTCTCGTAGGCGCGGCACCCTGACTTGATCACTGGGTAGATCCCCGTCTCATCTTCTGCGTCTGCTCGTGGCCGGGGGCTGAGGACTCGGGCTGGGCCTGGGTCAGGCCCCAGCTGTGGGGGCAGGTGACTTCTCCTTCCTCCCCTTTTTCTCCCACTAATGCCGAATTTATTACTTACAAGTAGGATAAAAACAAGGAGAATAAGAGAAGGAATACAACCTTCATTATCATATCGAGAAAATTATCTGTGATTTTCCTAACTAGCAATTTGCCTGCCCTGCGGTTCAGAACTGACTTGCCCATTAATTACAGAGATGAAAAATCATGTGGAAAGCGGAAAAGGGAACTGATTCGGTCCCTGGCTGGCGGCAGTGGCACCCGTGCCGGAGCCGCAGACGTGCGCGCGTGTGAGCGCGGCCCTCCTGCTGGCGCGGCCGCCTTGCCTTCCTCCTCCTCTCCCTCCGCGACCTCCCGTGGCGTGTCGCTCTTGCGCTCCGGGCCCCCGCTAGGCCCCCTCTCCCCCCGCGGGCGCCGGCTAAGGCCCATCGCGCCTGACCCTGCCCTTGGGCGTGGAGAGGGCCCAGGGTCGGGGGAGGCGGGAGCTGGGAACCGGGCACCTGGGCCGTGGGGCCTGCAGGCGGGCGGTGGCAGGCGGGAGACTGGAAGCCCGGTTTCCATTTCCAGCCGGCCCTGGGGAGCCCCTTCTGGGGCGCCTGGGGGAGGGGCCGGCGGCGCCCCGGCTGCTCTGGTGTCTGTGCGTCCAGCGGTCTGGGCTCCTGGCGGTGCGGCTTTGCCGTCCATCCCAGGCTGGCGGGAGAGCGTGCGCCTCAGCTCCAGCGTGGGCATCGGGCGCGGGGGTGCAAGGGGGGGCTGTGCTGCTCCGCCCCGGAGCCGGCACCCTTCCTGGGGAACAGGAGGAGCGTCCGCGCCATCTCCGCCTGCGGGCCATGGGGAGCTGGAGCCAGGTCTCTGCCCGCTCCTGCTTCTCCAGCCAGACGCGTGGCCAAGGACACGGGGGGCTCTAGTTTCTGTGTGGCTCCTCTCGAGGATCCGGTTTCCAGACGCCAGACACTTCCCTCCTCCAGGTCCCTCCGTGGGGAGGCGGGGGAGGGGCTCCAGAGGTGGGCTTCCCTGGGTGTGGGACTGGGGCCTGCCTGCGGTGACCTGTGGTCATCTGTCTTGGTGTGATTTGGTCGGTGACCTGGCCGAGCCGGCGTGTGGCCACATGTCCAGCAGGCTGGTCTCCTGGGTGCTGGTGTTGGTGAGTTTTGCAGAGAAGCAGACCATGTGTGTGTGTGTGTGTGTGTGTGTGTGTGTCTCTCCAAGTGTGAGCAGCTGTCTGCATCTCGTGTGCACCTGCAGGCGTGTGCCTGGGTGTGTGTATGCAGGGCTTCCTGGAGTGAGGCTGGGTGCCCTCTCCACGCAATCCGTGAACACTAGCAAAGTGTTGGGGACGCTGTGGGGACAGTGCTCTGGTTCTGTCCTCAGGGAGCTTACAATCTAGCGACACAAACGTGATTTCAGTCAGGGGGCTCGTACCATAGGAGTTGGGGAGAAGGCTTGTGTCTCCCTGTCTAGAGCGGCCAGGGTCCCAGCTGGGGAGGGGCAGCCCCAAACTCACAGGGCAGCAGCGCCTGCGTCCCAGCCCCACTGCAGTCCCAGCACGGTCTGGCCCTGCACCATCTTCCCTGTCACCTTGTCCGCCTTGCGCCCTGTCTCTTTGCTGTCTGTCCAACATGCTGAGCACGATTCTACCCCGGGGCCTTTGTACTGGCTGCTCCTGCCACCTGGGACCCTCACCCAGACATCTGCAAGACTTTTGCTCCCTCACTCGCTTCAAACGTCACCTCCCCAGTAACCTTTGCCCCATGCAGCCCGTTTAAAATTCTAGCGGCCTGCTAGGCTCCCAACGGACGGCCTCTCGCACACTCTGGAATTTCCTGACGTATCATGCCTGTTTGTGGTCCGTCTCTGTGGCCAGGACCCAGGCGCTCAGGGAATTTGTCGTTGGGTCTGCTTTCGGATGCTAGGGGCCTAGACTCCTACCTGGCGGACAGTAGTTGCTCAGGAAGTCTTATCTCAAAGGACCGGAGAGCCTTAGGTGGCTCCCTGGCTGTGCACAGTGAGGGCTGCCCATTGACCCGGCCCACTTGGGGGGCTGGAGGGCTGCCCACTGCGGGCCGGACCAGGCCGGCGCTGTGCCTGTCCCAGGTGCACACCTGTGGGGCCTCTTCGAGGTGGCCGCATGGTGCCCATGGGTGCTCCAGGTGCAAGGCTGTCTGCGGGGCTGTGTGCGCCGGGGTTTAGACCTCAGAGGGGGAACGTGGGGGCCCCCGCCCTTGCCAGGGGGTAGGAGCCCCAGGGTCAAGCCTGAGCAGCCCCTCCTTCCCGGGACATTGACCCAGCCTGTTCCCGTGGGATGGGCCCCTCACCCTTGTTCTGTCTGCCCTGGCCCAGGCAGCTGGCCAAGCAGAAGTCCCTCCTCCCAACTCCAAAATTTGGGGAAGGTGAAAATTGCAGTAAAATGATGTGCAGGTTAAAAACAGCCCTGCCCCCCGCCCCAAGCTACAAATAGCCAAGGCCCCTCCCTGAGGGACTAAAATCCCTAGCAAGTCAGGACTGGGCGGGCCGGGAAGGCAGGTGGGTGCTGCCTTTGCGGTGGGGAGGAGGTGCCGCAGTGGAGGGCCCGGGGCAGGGGCTCCAGCTGGGGCTTGCTCTGCGGGGCAGCCTGTGTTGTGGGCCCTCTGGCGGCCTGGCCTCCACCCTCTGGATGCCGTGCCTCGTCCCTCCCTCGGCGTGATACCTGGAACTGTTTGCAGGCATTGCCACACGGCTGGGGAATCGCCTCCCCGCAGTGACAACCAGCGCAGACCCGGCGGCCGACTGCTCTGAAGAGCCACTGCAGTCCTCCTCTGCCTCTCCTCGGCCCTGGGGTGGACGAAAACAGTGGTGGCCCGGCCATAGGCAGCCAGCTCGCCCCAGAGCGCCCCCAGTTGTCCCTAGTGGTGGAGGCTGGGGTACCATGGATGTGCCCACATCAGCAGACAGGCAGCCCCGTTTGGGACGTGCTTGTACACTTAAGTACGTGGTGAGTCCGGTGCAGTCTGTCCCCGTCCCCCCCTGCTCTCACCTCCTTCCTCTCCCTTGTTCTCACTCCCCAGCAGTCACACCGGCCTCCTCACTGGTCCTCAAATGTGCAGGCCCGGGCCAGCCCCAGGGCCTTTGCACGGGCTGTGCCCTCAGCCTGGAACACTGTTCTCCTCCCTGGGTATGGCTCGTTCCTCACTTTCGCAGGGCTCTGTGGAGGTGTCCGGCTTTTTTTCCTCATTCCTCACCCTATTGAAAACTGCACACACACACACACACACACACACACACACACACACACACACCCGGCTTTTTTTCCTCATTCCTCACCCTATTGAAAACTGCACGCGCGCACACACACACACACACACACACACACACACCCCCGGCTTTTTTTCCTCATTCCTCACCCTATTGAAAACTGCACGCGCACACACACACACACACACACACACACACGGCTCCTCCTCCTCCACAACACCAGTGCACCACAGCACCACAGAATCCACCTGTTCGGTGCTCTTGGTGTCTAGCTGCCCACGGCGGTCTCTCCAGCACCTGGCGCAGCAGCTGGCACACAGTAGGCGCTCGAGCAAGGCTGCGTGGAATCACTGGATATATCTCTGAGCCCCACAGCCACCTCGGGAGGCTTCCGTCCTGTTTCCAGAGGGCAGAGAATGCAGAGGAGGAACGTGGGGCCTGAAGGGGGCAGGGCCGGATTCGACCCCAGGACCCTGGGGCTAAGGCTGCGATGCCCAGGGCCCCTTCCTTCTTGCCTGCTGGGCACCGTCCCCCACTGCTGTCTCTGCATCCCCCCGCCCCCGACAGTGTCTGGAGGCCCAGAGCCGCCTTCCGCCCTCTGCCCTTGGCCTCGGGCCTGGCTCCTGTGAGTGTTCTCAGCTCTGCTCTGCAGCACCCAGCGCGTGAGGCTCAGGGCCAGACACTGACCGTGAGACGTGGAAGCACACCATGGGCCACCCTGGTACCGACCCACCTGGTGGGGAGCGCGGAGGAGGCGCCTGGCCCGCCTGCGAGTCAGGGCGGGCTTCCTGGAGGAGGGGGCTCCCCAGCAGGGCCTGAGCGGGGGAGGAGGGATAAAGTGGAGGGGCCACCCTGAGGAGCAAAGACCATTCCGGGTGTGGAGCGACGAGGCTGGAGGCTGGTCTTGGGGCCAGAGCACCGTGAGCTGGCATTTCTGCCGTCCAAAGGGCCTGTGATGGTCAAGACCCACGAGGCGGTGGGAAGGTCCAGCCTGAGCCCCCTCTGGCTGCCACAGGGAGGGACTGCAGAGGCGGGAAGGGGGCCAGTGGCGGGAGCCTCTGGGGGTCAAGGGGAAGGCTGCAGGGGGCCTGACCTTGGAGGCGGCTGGCGTGGTTTTCGGGATGCAGTTGATGTGGTTTGTGGATGATGGGCGGTGGCCGAGAGCAGGGCTGGGAGAGACTGCGGGTTTCTGGCTTTGACAGCTGGGTGGACAGAGAGAAAAGGCGGGTGGGGTGGGAGCGCCCACCGCTCTCAGCAGCCCTCCCCCTGCCCCCCCAGTCTCATCTCCCCCAAAACCCTGGCAGCAGAAGCAGCCTGAGCACTGAGTCGGTCCCATCTCTCCTGTGCCCAGGACCTCCATGGCTCCTGTCTCACTTGGAGAAGAAGCCCAAGTCCTCCCCTCTGCCCTCCGGCCCTGCTCCCTCTGCCCCGTAAACCTGCCCTCGCCTCTTCCCGCTCTCCCCTGCTCTCCCCCTCGCTCCTTGGGCCGCAGCCACTCTCCAGCACATTCCTACCTCAGGGCCTTTGCACGTGCTGTGTCTGCTCCCTGGGCTACCCTTTCTCTGATACTTGGACGGTCACCTCCTTGAGACCGCTGCTAAAACGTCAGCTTCCTGGTGAAGTGCTCCCCGACCGCCCCGGCTATACCTGCACCCACACATGTCCGCCACACACTCTCTCCTCTTTGGGCCTGTTTTCCTCCAGAGCACTTGTGACAGCTGTCCGCTGTTCTCTGGGTCTGCTTTGTCTTTGTTTGGTAAAAAAAAGTGACAAGTACCCGCCCCTTGCCCGGAGCTAGGCCTGCACCAGAGAGCCAGGCCGGCCTGGGTGGAACTCTCCCTGCGGGGCCCCAGCTCGGAGGAAAGGACGGTCAACAGCAGAGTCCAGGTCCAGCTAAGGGAGCCAGATGAGGCCCGGCGTGCTGTGAGTGTGGGTGCAGGAGAGGCCAGTGCAGTCCCACGGGCAGAGCCTTTTGCAGGAGGGGGGTCAGAGGCGGGAGCCCTGACACTGTGTGTGTGAGAGAGGGAGGGAGGTGTGTGGGGGGACAGGCACCGTGGGAGGCCAGAGCAGACAAGGTGATGAGGAGGTGGCAGGAGACCTGGGTTTGAGACACCACGTTAGGGCGTCTGAGGCAGTAGGGAGCCACAGAGGGGTGTAGGCAGGGAGGACGTAACTGGGTTCTCATTTTGAAAGATTACTCTAGCCGCAGGGTGAGAATCGGATGGGGCTGGAGTGGCGGATAGATGGGCGAGACCAGGAGGGAGACATGGGGCGGACAGGATGCTTTGAACTGCCCCCATGGAGTGACATTTTAAAACTTGTAAGACATGTCCCCCCCACCCCGTGATGCCAGCACCTAGTGGGAGGGAGATATTAAGCAGATAAGTAACATGCATGGCGGGGGTGCCAGCCACGAGTGCCGTGGGAGGCCAGGACGGGCTGTGGGAGCGCTGGGGCCAGCAGTGCCTCCCAAGCAGGCCCTGAGGGAGGCCAGGGAGGAGCTGTGCAGGTGTCTGGGGAGGAGGGAACAGCCTGTGCAAAGGCCCTGAGGTGGGTCTGGGCCTGGAGCTTTGGAAGCTGAGTGACTGAGGAGGAGTGGGCAGGGAGGGGCGAGGCGGAGCGAGCAGGGCCTCGTGGGAGAGCGAGGGCTTGGCTTCTGCTCTGGGTGAGGTGTGAGCCACGGAGGGTCTGAGCCACAGGGGGACTTGCCCTGCTCGGGTGCTCACAGGCGCCCTCTGGCCGCTGTGGGGGGAACAGACTGGGCAGTGAGGGCGGGAGCCTGGAGACCTGGGCGCGGGTGCCAGCTGGTCCAAGGGGAGCCAATGGGGCCGGGCCGGGGAGAGGTGCCCAGATTCTGAAGCAGGAGCTGGGGTTGGATGGCGGCGAGAGGAAGAGAGGGTCCAGGGTGTAGGGCTCTGAGCGCCTGGCGGACCCGCTGCCTCTGCTGAGACCGGGGAAGATGGGGTGGGGCGGAAGGTTCTGCAGGGCCCTGCCCTCCCTGAGCCACAGTCCCCTTCCCAGACTCTGGGCACTCGCTCCGTCTCTCTCAGGTAATCTGTTAGTCCTCCAGGAGAGATGGGGAAGTGGGCTCAGAGAGGCCTAGAGCCCTGCCTGAGACCACACAGTGGATTCAGACCCAGGAGCCAAGTCCTCTCCCAGAGCCTTCCCGTCCCCACTTTGCCATGCCTGAGGGCTTCCTGGAGGAGGTGGGTCTGTGCAGCTGGGCCCTCAGGCCACTGGGTTTAGGGAGGACTCTGTTAGCTGGGTTGAGGGCAACAGACAGGAGACTCTTGTCTGGAGGGGTGGGGTGGGAGGGGCCCAGAGCCCCCCTGTGGGTGCCCCCCCAGGCATTCAGACTCTCACCCACTCAAGCAGAGGGTTGCCGTGGCAACGGCACTCTAGGGCAGGCTAGAGGCGCCCCCTCTCCTCCAGCAGCCGGCTCTCCTCCTGTCACCCTCCCTGCCCGTCCCAGGGCGCCTGAGGACAGAGCCGGGCCGCGTTGCCCGCCCCCGGGCCCCCGCTGCACCCCCCCTTGACTTGAGACTGATGGGAGCTGGGTCGCAAACACAGAGGCGGGTGGGCCGGCCAGTGGGCAGCCACACGGCCTGGGGATCAGACACGCCGGGTCCAGCCCCCATCGCCGAGCCCTATTTCCCGGGGAGAGCTAGAGGTGGGGACGGCCATGGTGCGGGCTCACCCGGCCTGGGGGGCAGCGCCTCCGGGGTGTCCAGCTCTGAGGATGCTCCAGCGTGCAGGCTGGGGGGGCCCTGGACCAGGGGCTCTCCCTGCCCCCGTCTCCCCAGCTCCCGCCCAGCCACTGGGCGCCCCGGGGCCTCCCTGGGCTCAGCTGTGAGCCGTGGGTACCGCCCCTCACCGAGTCCCCAGGAGGATCCACTGAGGTCCGGCGTTTGTGAAGGTTCCCCGAGGTTGTGCAGCTCAGGGCCCTGCCCCGCCTCCTGCCCCCGCGTGCCGACCCCCTGCCAGTCTGCTGTGAGGAGCACCCCAGACGGGGCGGCTTTGACGACAGACACCCATCGTCGCACGGTTCTGGAAGCCAGAAGTCCGAGGTCGGGGTGCAGGCGTGGCTCCTTCTGGGGCTCTGAGGAGGACCTGGGCTGGCCTCTCCCCCGGCGTCTGGGGGCTGCCGGCCATCCTCGGCGCGCCATCTCTGCCTCCGTCTCCTCGTGGGTCCTCCCTGCGTGTGTGTCTGGGTCTAAATGTCCCCTTTTGATAAGGACAGTGGTCATGTTGGATCAGAGCCCACCCCCAAGGACCTCACTTTGACCGGACCACCTCTCTTATAGACCCTCTCCGTCAGGTCCTGTTCTCAGGTCCCGGGGGACAGGACTCCAGCACATCTGTTTGGAGGGAACAGAATTCAGTCCATAACACCCCCCTCCCAGGGCCTCAGGGGTGGTCGGCCTGGGTTTCCCAGTGGTCCCAGCGACCCATGCCTGGCCTCCCCGCCTAGGGGGACACCAGGTAGCAGGTGACACGCTCCAGGGCAGGGTGGGCACGCGATCAGGCAGGAAGGGAGGAACAGAAGCTGCAGTGCCCAGCTCCTGCGCTGGGGCTGGTGCTGGGGGTGCCTGGGGCTTCCTGGGGGAGCTGCTCCAGGAGGGGCTGCAGGGAGTGGCAGGCAGCCCTGGGCTGCTCCTGCGCCCCTGAGGCAGTGGTACCCAGCCGTGTGGGCCAGGCTCGGCCCCCGGGTCGCAGGGCACACACCCGTGTCCAGCTGCCCCACCCCACTCACCTTGTGTTCACTGGGTAAATATTTGTCTGAGGACCCACTGCGTGTCGGTGCCGGGAGACGGCCTCGGGAGCTTCTGTCCTCCTGGGGCTACAAAGGAAATGCACGGGTGGACAAGGCGGGTCACAGGGCAGTGACGGGATCGGAGGTGACAGTGGAGGGAGGGGACACTGCATGCACCAGCTTCCACATGTGGCCCCAAGTGTCTCACGTGTGAATCCCTCTCCTTGTGCAGCTGCTGGATGAGGTACCCGTGTTACCAAGAGAAGGCGGAGACACGCGGGTGATGGGGTGGCAGGGTGCCGGGATGCAGGCGCTGGCTGCAAGGCGCCCGCCCGCGTGTCCGAGGAGGGCACCTCTGAGCTGAGATCTAAGGGGCACAGAGCTGGGGACACAGGCCGAGGTCGAGTGGTGGGAAGCGGGTGGCGGGAGCAGGGGGAGGGGCAGGAGTCGGAGCGTGCCTGGTTCATGGCCATGGAGCGGGAGCCAGCGCAGGGCGTGGAGCGGGGCAGCGAGGTGGCGACGTCTTTAAAAAGATACCTCTGTGGGGGCCAGCCCCGTGACGTCCTGGTTAAGTTCACACACTCCACTTTGGCGGCCCGGGGTTCACAGGTTTGGATCCCAGGCGCGGGCCTACGCACCGCCTGTCAAGCCACCCTGAGGCAGCGTCCCACATACAAAACAGAGGAAGATGGGCGTGGATGTTAGCTCAGGGACCGTCTTCCTCAGCAAAAAAAAAAGACGCCTCTGTGGAAACAACCCAAGTGTCCATCAGTGATGAACACACACACAAGATGTGGTCCATCCGTACAGCGGAGTGTTATTGGGCCGTAAAAAGGAGTGAGGCTCTGATACATGCTACAACCTGAGTGAACCTTGAAAACGTGATGTGCGGTGAAAGGAGACAGTCACAAAAGGCCACAGGTTGTGAGATTCCCTTTATAGGAAAGGTCCAGAACAGGCAAGTCCATAGAGACGGATGCAGATTCATGGTTGCCAGGGGCTGGGGAGGGGAGAGGGAGGTCTTGCTTATGGGTACAGTTTCTGTTTGGGGTGATAGAAAGTTTGAAGACAGATCCTGGCGGTGGTGGCACAGCATTGAGAATGTAATTAATGCCACTGAATTGTACACTTAAAAGTGGTTAAAATGATAAATGTTGTTATCTATATATATTATACCGTAACTTTTTCAGGAGGGCCCTCTGGCTGCCAGGGGAGCCCGGACTGTGGGCTATGAGGGACTGGAGGGCTTTGGAAAGAGTCAGGGCCGTCCGAGGGGGACAGGGATGCCCAGGACTGGAGGGACAGCTGCTGAGGACGGAGGGACAGACGGACGCTGGAGTGCTCTGGAGGTGCAGCCCAGGGCTTACTCCTGAACTGGATGTGGGGTGAGGGAAGCAGGGACCAAGGATTTTGACTGCTGGGGTCTTGGCCCAAGGGCCGGGGAGGAGGGTGGGACCATGGGCGGATAGGGGGTCTTTGTTTTGGTCTGGTCAGGCTGTGGGTGATGTGGAGACCCCGACAGAGGTGGAGATGGTGGGGAGAGAGGCAGGGCCGGGGCTCGAATGTGGCAGGTCATGGTATAGACGGTGTCTAAAGCCATGAGGCTGGTTGGGGTCCCCGAGGGGGGTGGGGACGGGGGAGAGGCCCGGGGACTCCTGCTGGGGTCCCAGCAGCCCGGGGTACAGCCCGGGAGGAGGGAGGAGACACGCCGTGCTGTGGACAGCCCCTGGGGGGCTCCCATGCGGGCTTATGGTATAGTGGACTCCTGTCCTACCAGAGCCCTGCGGGTGCCAGGAGTTGGGGGCCCTGGAGCGGGGCCGGGGGCCTGGCTCTGGGTCACACGCACGTAAAAGGCCGAGTCAGGATCCAGGCTCAGGTCGGCTGCCCCTGGAGCCTGGCGTCCGGCCACCCCTCCAGTATTAACCAGCCACTAACCAGTTCAACTCCATCGGGGAGAGCTGGGGAGGGGGTGTCCTGGGGTCAGGGCCTCTCCGGAGCGTGACTGTGGCCGGGAGATGGGGTGGGAGGGGGGGAGACACAAGGTGGTGGGAATGTTCCTCCTGCCCCGACCGGAGAGTTGTAAACTTCTGTGATGCACCGCCAGTGCCCCGTGTGCCCTCTGGTCGGGGCTCTGGTGAGGCGGTGGGGGGGTCCTGAAGGCTGGGCGCGGGGGCCACGCAGGGCTGCCCTGGGGAGTTACGTTCCCATTTCTCGCGGGAGACTGAGTCCTGGGGGTGTCTTGCCCGTGTTGCGCTCTGATCTTGATGTCTTGTGAGCCTGTGCGGGTCCCTGCCCTGGGGGCTCACGGTCTGGTGGGGAGGGCTGACGCCGGCCTGCTGATGGGAGCAGGTCATTTCAGTGCAGCTGAAAGCTGTGAATTACAGCCAGGGCTCGGAGGGTGCGGGAGGGCTCGGAGGGCGCGGGAGGGCTCGGGGGGCGCGGGAGGGCTTGGGGCGGCCGGGGCAGGTCGCTCTGCTGGCTGACCTGGGGTGGAGCCCTGGACAGGGAGAAACTGCGGCAGGTGTGCAGGGACCCTGGGAGGGCGTTCCAGGCAGAGGGAACAGCCCAGGCAAAGGCTCAGGTTCGACGATGGGGGGAGGGCAGATTGGAGAGCGGGTGGCCCCAGGTCAGCCGCGGCCTCCAGGCCTTGGTGAGGAACGAGACCCCGTGGAGAGCCAAGGGGAAGGCTAATACTCAGATCTACGCATTAAATGATCCCTTAGCACTGAGTGGAGGGTGGGCCTCGAGGCAGGGAGGCCGGGACGGGCAGCCGGGTGTAGCCAGATGGTGGCTTGGTCCTGGTGGGTGGCCCGGGGGCCAGGGGAGTGGGCAGGTTAGCGAGATGCTTTGGAGGCAGAGCCCACAGGAGCTGCTGATGGAGCCTGTGACGGGGAGGGGAGAGGAGGGGCGAGGAATGGAGGCGGATTCCCAGGTTTGGGGTCTGAGATTCATTCAATGAATATTCGTTGTTGTGTGCCAGCCCTATTCTAGAAGCTGGGGATAGGGCCGTGCATGAAACAGTGCAGTGATCCCTGCCTTGTGCAGGGGCCGTTCCATACACAGGATAGTTACATTTGAACAAAAGCCTGAAGGAGGCGAGGGAGCAGAGGAAGTGACCATATGGATAGCTGGTGGGCAGAAGATGTGTGCAGAGGAAGTGACAGGTGCAAAGGGCCTGGGACAGAACCTATTGCGGCCGGAGCAGAGGTGGGGTCAGGGAGCTAACTGGGCCTGGAGGGTCACTGCAAAGGCTTTGGGTTTGGGGGGAACAACAGTGCTGAGAGATTCCAGACTGGAAAGAAGAGATTGGGGAAGTATTGGCTGGTTGATGGTGTTGAGGCCATAGGACAGGCTGGGGTGACAACGGGAGAGCACAGAGCGGGGGTTCAGACATTGGAGGACCAGGTAAAACACGGGGTGCTGGCTCTCCCCAGAGAATGTGCGTTTCTAGCAAGTTCCTGGCCAGGGTGGTGCCCCTGGGGCGGGGCCCCCCTTGGAGAACCGGGGTGTACATGAAGCTGAGAGTGGAGACCTGGGCTCACAACCTTGAGAGCATGCGGGGGAGACCGAGGCAGCGAGACGTGAGGAAGAGCAGCCATGACGAGGAAGAAACGGATCAGAACCGAGCTGTGTGCCGGGGAGCCGCTGTGCCCCGGGGATGGGCAGGCAGGGTGGGGCGGCTGGCAGAGGAGGGCATACAACACCGCCCCTCCTCCACCCCTCGGCCCCCTGGGGGGCAGCACCCCCTCCCACCCCGCCTGCCTGTCAGCGGCTTACCCCGAGGGTCCCCCGGAGGGGAAAAGAGGACTCAGTTGTCCCTGGTCCGGATCTGTGGCGCCAGCCAGCTGGATTCTAGTTAGCTACCAGAGCTCGAGAGGCAGGAAGCAGGGGCGGGGGGGCCTGGATTCCTGCCCAAGATGGGGAGGCTGCAAGTCAGGGCCGGGACGCCGGGGTCCCCCACCCGGGACGCCGGGCCTCAGCAGCCGCCTCGCTGGGTGAGGAACCTAGCTGGGGCCAGGAGACGAACGGGCAGGGTCTGGATTTCGGGATGGCAGAGAGGTTTCCGGGGGGTCCTTCTCCTGTGGTGGGGGGTCTGCGGCCTGCCTGGGTGCGGGGGGCCTTTTGCAGCTGTGACATCCTGCTCAGCTGTCCCTGCCACCCGATGGGGCTGTGAGACCCCAGGAGGGGCTTCCAGGAGGTTCCGTTTGGTCCGAGGTGCCCAGACGGGTGGGTCTGTCTGCTGGGTGGTGTCGGGGTGCAGGGTGAGCCCCAGGCCCTGGAGCGGGTCAGCCTCGGGGCGAGGGGTGCAGCTTCATCAGATACAGCTGGCTTGAGGGAGGTGCCGGACGTCGACTGGCCCCTTGGGGCTGGGACAGGACGGAAGGGGACTGGCCCAAACGCCCCTCCTGCTGG